AGTAGAAATAAACACTAGCATTTGCGGGGAAATAATTTTTGACGTTCACCCAATTTATGTTAGGCAGAGCCTTCTTCAATATGACCCCCAAAGCACACACACAAGCATAAAACCGGTAAACAGAGCTGGAAAATGAGAAACACCTATGTTGCAAGTGAAACCACTACCAAATGAAAAGACAACACAGGATAATTACAGAAAATATTTGTAAACTATTCATCTGATAAAAGATTTGCATTCAAAACACACAAAGAAGTCTTAGAAGTCAAGAAAAATCTACCGAGGTATTTGTCAAAAGAGGACATGAACACATAAAAATATGTTTAAAAAAGCATGAACTCTTAGGAAAATGCAAGTAAAAGCCTCAGTGAGATACTGCTCCACACCTAGCGGAACGGCGTGCAGAGGGTGGTGGAGACCCTGGGACCCTCAGTGCATTGCTGGAGGAAATGTAAACGGTACAACCAATTTAAAGAAGAATTCGACCTTTCATACAGGTTAAATACAGGGGTACTATATGACCCAGCTGTTCCACTCCCATATATATTACGAAGACAAGCCCTTGCACATGAATGTTCAGAGCAGCATTATTTATAACCAAAATGCACGCCTGTGATTCTAGTTCCATTTTGGAGGGCAGGATCTGCTACAGAGCAGGTATGGGATGAGATGAAGATTCTGATGTTCGCAGAGGGTGGTTAGGGGACCGCTGTTTAATAGTGATCCTGTTTCCTGTTACTTGTACTGGCTATAAAGAGTTCTAGGCTACAGCTGAGAGGAGGAGAGGGTCGGTGGGGGTGGATGTGGGTGGGTGGGGAGGGTGGTTTCTGGAATGGCCTGGGAAAAAAACATGACTAATGTAAAGTAGTAGGAGGCCAATGGCTACTGGAAACATCCTGCCAGAGGCCCGACCCTATGTGAATCAATCAGTTACAGTCTGTGTGGGTGAAACTTTATTGCACCATGTAACTCCCACCAAACAACCTTCTTTCCCTGCATGGGTCTGGTAAGAAGGTGGGGGAGAAACTGATAGGATTTGCCCTGAGTAATTGTGAACTGGATTCCCTGCAGTGCCACCCTGCTGCCTAGAAAATGAGCCCATTGAGAAGCAGGTAGTGTGAGCTCATCACCAGCAAGAGCTAGGAGAGGGGCATGTCCTCTGGCCCCAGCATCTGACTAACTCCTGCCTGATAGCTCCCACCACTGCGTGAGACATTGCCTTGGATTTCCGTGAATTTCTGTGGGATACTATAGTGATTCGCGAACCCAGAGAGATGCAATAATACACTCAAAGGAGGCGTGGGAAGTGGGGGGCAGAATGGAACCGAGTAACATCTTGCAAGAATTGGACTTTGGAGACTTTTCCAATCTCCAGCTCCATGGGATTAGGATGGTATTAATTCTTAACAAAGGAAAGTATTACCACAGAAACCACCCAAATGCCCATCAACAGGTCAATGAGTGAATATTATGGGACTTTTTTACCTATACAATAGAATACTACTCTGCACGGATAAGAAATGGAGTACTGACATATGCTACAATTACACATGAACCTCAAAAACACCGTGCTAACTGAAAGAAGTCAAGTCAGAAAAGAGTACATCATGTAGAATTCAATTTCTTGGAAATGTCCAAAATAAGAACATGCATACAAACAGAAAGATTGGTTGTTGCCCAATGCTTGGGGCAGGGAGCCCCGTGGTGTAGTGGTTATGTATTGGGCTGCTAACTGCAAGGTCAGCAGTTTGAACCCACCAGCCGCTCTGCAGGAACAAGAAGGAGATTTCTACTCCTTGAAAGAGTTACAGTCTGGGAATCTCACAGGAACAGGTCTACCCTGCCCTATGGGGTTGCTATGAGCCAGCACTGACTCGATGGCAGCAAGTTTGGTTTGGGTTTGGGAAGGCTGGGGGCTGGATGGTTGTGGGGAGACTGAAGTGACAGCCAATGGATACGAGGCTTCTTTGGGGGATGATGAAAATGTTCTGAAATCCTGTGTTGGGGTGGGTGCATACATTTGTGCATATACTACAAAACCCCTGGACAGTGAGCTCTAAGTGGATGAACTGCGTGCTTTAGATTGGTGGCTCAGATGGTGTATGCATTATATCGCAGGATGATATGATTCTATGTGCATTATACTGCTAAAAATGCATTTACAGAGTGAATACGGTGAAAGCGTTCTTACTGGCGAAATGCTACTTCATCCCCTCGTGAGCCTTCCGTGCTGTCTACCACTGAGCCAGCCACACAATGTGTAATGTCTGCTCTACTGACACACTGGGTCCCTTCCTCCACTCACCACAGGTGCTGACCCATTCCTTGCTGGCAGTACGTGATCCATAAAGCACCGGGGCTATGTTATTTGAGTCTTGCATAGTAAACGCTTTCCTCACGGATGATCTAACGTGACCCTGAATTCAGTAGTGATGACCACCAATGCCCACCAGCCATGGACTCAGAAATTGCTCGCTTGGTAGTTGTGTGTTTTTTTCGAAGCACTGAAGTGTGATGGTTGGTTGCCACAAATATTTAGGTAGGACATATTTATAGATATTGGCGTTATAAACAGAAAACTAGGATCCTCCTTAGCCTTGAGAATAACACATTTACAAAGGTGAGCTCCGAGGCAGAGCCTGACAGAGGAATCCGTATGTTAGTGAGCTCTGTCAGACTGTGTGAAAGTATCCATTGAAACCAGAAAGTTTCCCAAGGTCGTCCAAGACATAAAGAAGTCCCCATATCAATCATTTTCATGAAAGGAGGCACGGGCAGAAACGAATCCTTTCACAAATCGCACTTGAAATAGCGCTGAAAACGATCACGCTTCTCTTTGAGAAGAACCGTAGGCGAGGAGCAGGTCTCAGTCCCTGCCATCAGGTTGACTCTGACTCCTCTGGACCCCACAGGACGGAGCCAAACTGGCCCCCTGGGTTTCTGAGACTGCAACCCTTTACAGGAGAAGAAAGCCTCGCCTTGCTCACAAGCCTCGCAGGTCGGCGGGTGGTTTCAAACGGCTGACCTCGTGGTTAGCAGCCTCATGCAGGAAAAGGAGGGGAGGGCGGGAAAAGGATGGATCGTGAAAGTGGGTGAACACACCTTGTACCCCAGCATTTTACATTTCATATGACGTTGTTCACTTTTAATGGCCCCTTTTCTCTATTGTTGACTCACCAGGTCGATGGAGCCTACAGATGGCTGGTCGGGCTGCAATGCTGAGTCCGCATTTTCTCCTTCACGCTTTGTGCAAGCCATTTGCTCGGAAGGAAGCAGGTTATACCACAGGGTGAACATCTCATGGGAAAACGGCAAATCTGCCAGGCTGATCTGAGTTCCAGCCTGCGCGAGAGGAAAGGAAACAATGAGATGACGACAAACCTACCAAGGGGAGAAAAGCAAATATCCAAATGAGCATTTCTTCCCGCTGACATCCTTGAAGACCATTGGATGAGTTTGTCTTCAAGTGAAAAACACTCACTTATAACAAAGCACTGATAACGTTTTCTAATCCTAGGGATCACTGCCCCTGTGGGTTTCTGAGGCTGTGAATCTTTATGAGAGCAGAAAGTCTCTACTGCCTAGATTAAAAGACTCATAGCTTATTTAACTTTAGAGGAACTTCTGACACATCTACCTTATGGTAGGCCTTTCTGCCAGCTTAGCAAGGGAGGATGGCGAGACTTCGTCTCACACGCTTTGGGCAAGGTATCAAGATGGACTGGTCCCTGCACCAGGAGCTCGGCTGGGAAAGTACAGGGTCATCGACAAGGAGGACCCTCCATGGGTGGATTCGCACAGTGCCTCACTCTGTTGTATGTGAGTGTGATGGGTGGGTTCATTGTGCCAACCTGGCCAACAGGAACATGTGGGATTAATCGGGTTGCAGTTTGATTGGAGGGTCAAGAGATAGACGGCTCGGCAAGGCCCGCCCCCCTCTCTCTTGCTCTCTGGTGATCGGAGCATGCTGCTGCTTTAGCTAGTTCTCTGCCTCAACCTGTGTGGTACACTTCCTCTGGGCCAGGCCAACCCACGGGTGTGGATCATGTCGCTAGAGCTTGAGGCTCCTTCGGGACCTGCTTCGCTATGCCGCTGGGGCGTACATCGCTTGAGCTTGAGGCTGGTGGATCCCGTGGCCTTGCATTGCTTATGTTTGCTATCCCAATGGGGCCTGCTTCGCTAAGCTCCCCAGCTAATGACTGCTAGTGACCCACCCCGCTGCTTGCTGCTTGTGGGCAGACTCTGCTTGAGGTGTCCAAGGGAGGACTCTGCTGTCTGCCTCCTTGACCTGAGACCCGGCAGCCCACATGAGTTGAAGGACTTCCTGTATATTCACTGTTCCACGGAAGTGAGTTGAACTGAACCTCCTGTCCTGCTGTGTGGACTAATTCCCTGTTAAATTCCTTCTCACTGTCTAAACCTATCCTCTTATATAGAGATTAAATCCTAAGTGCCCTGGTTTCGTTTCTCTCGAGACCCCCGCCTAACACAGTGGGGTCACTGTGCCGAAGAACCACCTGGACGGCAGCCCCCCGACACCACCAAGCCCGGCCCCGTCTCTTCTCCTCCCTAACTCAGCTTCCAGTCAGACAGCGATGCTCAACAGCAAACATGACTAAGAAATGCACCACCTTTTCCAATGGTGTTCGTTGTGAAGCTCGTTTGTTTCCATGTTACTGAGTGACCCGCAGACGGGTCCTCATGGTGCAGGGGTAGCCAGTTGGGCTGCTGATGGCCAGGTCAGGCGTCTGAAACCCCAGCGGTCTGAGGGAGAACGACGGGGCTTTCTACTCCCATAAAGAGTTACAGCCTCAGGAGTGCCCGTGGGGCAGCGCTGCCCTGCCCTCCAGGGCCGCTGTGAGTCT